GCCACTATAATCACAGACCTACCTCTGACTTTCTCTTCTCCCTAAACACCTCAAAGTTCTGCTGATGTGCCCTCCAAATCTGTCTACCATCCCCACTGCCAGCAGCCTAATGCCGGCCACCTATGGTAACAGCCAGACCCCTGGACACCTCCCCACAGTGGTCAGGATTAAACACCAGACCTCAGCACACCCTCCACCTCAGGCCACTCTACTGTGCCTGCCCAACCACGGGGCATCTTGCCTCTCTCAAAGCCCAGCTCTCCGTGCCCTGCCCAACCAAGGGGCATCCTACCAACATCCCGCCTCTCTCAAAGACCAGCTCTCCGTGCCCTGCCCAACCAAGGGGCATCCTACTAACATCCTGCCTCTCTCAAAGCCCAGCTCTCTCTCCTTTGGGGTCTTCACATCTATTTTGCCTTCTGCCCACTCCCCACCCCTTCTCTCACACCATGACCTGGTCAACGCCATCCTCCAAATGTCATTTTTCATGCCATTTCCTCACAGAAACGTGGAGGCCTATAATCCACACCAATGTCTCAGTCAAGATTGGGTCTCTCTGGTCACACTGTCACGGGCCCTGTACTCCTGATGGGACCTGCACACGGGTTCTGCTGGTCCTCAGCATCTAGCAGCCTCGTGGCACACACCACATCCCAGTATACATGAGTGGGCAGAGGAGATACAACCCAGGTCAACTGACCCAGCCAAACACTGCACATGCGTAATGATGAAGAGGACACACACAAGTTTTTTATTTTTAATTAACTATGAGTCAATGTTCTCAAACTCTTCAGAATCAAAAGCTAGGGCTTGCGGTGCCCTCTGAGCTTGCTTGAAAGTGCTCAGTGCAGACAGCAGAGACCCCCTCTGCAGTTCAGCCCACCCTGCATTATTCCGTAAGAGTTTTCTGCTCTCCGCCAGCATTTAAAGCAATAACAACAAGAAAAAGTATACCACCAGTCTGGCGGGCTTTGTTCCTCAAGATTCCATCTGCCTTCTTATCCCACACAACAAAACACACACAAGACCAAGAAGCACTGGAAATCCACCCCAAGGTAAAATTCCACATCGACTTCAAAAGGAAACCCCCAAGAAAAAATCATAGGAACTTTTGAAGCCTTTTGCCGTTTTGTAAGATACATACTATACCAAAATACCACCATTTGGGGTACAGATTCTCTTTTTTGCTGGGTACAAAGGAAGCTAAATGAAAGTCTTTGTATAGCAAAGACATCGGGGTGGTATCCAGGGAGCGGCTCCTAACACCCCACAGCTTACCGGCCAAGACTGGCTCAGACACTAGCACTCGGTGCAACTCAGCTGCTTGGCACTGGTTTTGTAAGAGGAAGAAAAGGAGCTAAGAATTAAAAATCTAAATTTCAAAACTCCACCAAGAAAGAAAAGGGCTAGCTATGTGAATTACAAAAAGTGGAGGTGAGGGGATCTTGGAACTTGGGGCTAGTGCCCCTGAGTTGTTAAGAAGCCACTGAATTTGTAGGGAGAGAATAAGAGAGGGGGGCAGGCAGAAAAGAAAAAAAGGAGAGACCACTTCCTTGCATAAATTCCCATTATTTGGCCAGTCACTCAAAATAACACCCTTAGGGAATGATTTCCTCCCTCTTCTGAACACAAATTAGGAGTTACTGGCTTCTAACACACAAGATGCCATCGCTGCTATAGGAACTGAAATGTATGAGGTGATTTCCTAAATACTATTTGATAAACTGAACTCTACTTCAGTCTACACATCAATTTTTTTCTAGCATGGTAACCCACACTCCACATGATAAACAATCCAATCATATTAAAACCATCTGACAAAATGCTTTAAATTCCTGAATGAAGATACTACCTCACATGGATATTGGAGAAAGTTTGTTTTGTTCTTTTTAAAGCAAATACGACAGTATACCTCTAATGATTACTAATCAACACTGAATACTTCCCTATTTTCAAAGTGTAACATTAGAAATAATTATGAAATAGCTTGGCCCCAAAGTTACAATAAATCCAAATTTCAGAGAAATTAAGAAGTAATCCTTAGACAATTATTTAGAAACATGTGTGATGAAACACTGATGTGACAACCTTTTACTTAAAAGAATGAAAAAACAAAGTGTGGGAAAGAGCCCCAAGTGTCTGGAGAAAAGTTATCATTCATCAGAGAATCTGAACACGAACCAGACCCTCTGGCCAAGGTCAAACTGTGCAAAGACCCAAATGATGTATCAGTCATAATCCAGAATGCACCATTTATAAATACAGATAAGCTATGCCTGCCAAGGTCTGGTCAGTTTTGGTTGACACACTGCCCTCTGTTCAGTGAAAAAGTAATCATTAATTTGTAGTCCCAAGGTGCATGGGTCCTCAGTCCTAAAAACTATAGGGGACCACGTGGATGTAGAAGCCCACAACCTGGTTTTTTCTACCCTACTTTCCCATCTCCCCCTTCCCAGAACGTGCTCCTTTTCACCTGGTGGTGTCAGGTGAAGACTGCAGAAATGCACAATCACAGGGCTGGCTCACATAACCAAAGCCACCCTTCACCAGCATTGAGCATTTCACAAATGTGGTTTCCTTTATCCAGTCTTAGGGCTTTTGTCTTCGTCGTTCAGCTCCCAGAACCCACCTTCCTCCACCAGTCCGTCACCTCTGGGCAGTGGCCATAACCACATCCCCAAGAGCACAAAAGAAAAAGCACAAAAGATGTATTAGAGGTGCCAGCCGTGGTCCCAGTGGACCAAGGTCTTCATCTCAAAGGTGGTGTGTGTGCTCCAAAGAGGCTGCTATGGTAAACATGCCTGTTATTACACAGCAGAGGGAAAAAGAAACCTAAGTCCCCCTGCTATTCCCCTCGCCAAAATCCACACAGGCTCTGGAAAAAATGTTTTGCCACCTCCTCCAGATCGTTAATTTCTACACAAGAAAATAAAGCACTTAAGACCCATGTTGAGGCAACCGTTCTTGTGGGATATGGAGGCGGGAGGGTCACTACCTCTTGTCCAAATGGACAGATCTCACTCTTGGTCAGGGGCAACACTCACTGGCACAGGGCCCACTGACCCTGTCCTATAAGCCCCTTGTCCACTCTGAACTATTTCTGGGAGCCACACTCTCTCTCCACACTTAAAGAGAGAAAACAATTCAAAGAGCTTGGAATGACCTTTCTCTGTAGCTTTGGGGAAAAAAAAAGAAAAGAAGATGGTGGGAAATTCCCATCAAGCATTTCCAAAAGCAGAGAAATAAATTTCAAGGCCTAGACCAGTGGTTCTCCATCTGTGGGCCCGCGACCCACAGGAACTGTATGAAAGGGTTATGGCATTAGGAAGGTTGAGAACCACTGGCCTAGACCCACACTGGGAAGTTCAGGGAGGCAGAAAAGTGAACTGTGTTGGCTTCCTCGATTGATCCTCTAGGTCTCTACAACTATCACACTTTTTAAAAGCAATTTTGTACGCTGTTAAGATTCTTCTTCTAAGCATGCCATTCGCTTTAGGAGAAACCTGCCTTAGAACCCCACGCCAGTAACTTTCTGGCCCCTAGGCCACTGTCCCTAACAATGACCCAATTTATAGTAAGCAAAACAGAACCAGTCCTGGAAAGTTACATTCACTTCCCATGGGACAGAATACACCACAAGGCCCCTGGATCTAGGCCTCACTCTGGCCACTGACTCAGTGTGTGACACCGGGCAATTCACTTAAGGCATCTCTGGGCCTCAGTTTCCTTTTCTGAGAACAGACTGGGCCTAGACAAGCTAATGCCACTTGTGGCCCTGCAATCGTGACATGATAGGAGCACATGTAATTATGAATATCCATTTTATTGCAGGGTTGGAGGAAGGAGGAAGCTTCTGGCAAATGCCAGCCTTCTTTCTACATGCCTCATTCATACCATGAGAAGATATTTTCAAAAATGACTCAAAATGTCGCTTTACAGGAATAAATTATTTTGTAATAAATACACAGACAGACAACAGAGGCACAACTCGTTAAATAATATACACTCAATTACAGCAAGCTACAAAATAAGGAGGCAGTTAGTCCAGAAGGACACTATGCATCTTAATGTTTTTCTACTTAAAATTATTTTGTTAACTTTAAGAAATTATAATATAGAAGCAAAATGCATTAATGGATAACATTTTGTAATACTTAAATTTAAAAAGCAAATGATTGTTTCATGCTTTGCATAATTCTACTTGTCACAGGTTCATTATAAAATTATGTCTTTGGTGAATTATTTCAAAAGTAGGAAGTCCAGCTCATGATATAAATATATAGAAGGAATATTCTAATAAGGCTGAGCTATCTCCTCAAGAGGTTAATTTATAAATTCCACTTTCAGAGCCTACAAAACCTTCAGACACTGCATTAAAAATATATGTAGACACACACTTCATGTTGTAGTCTTAGTACTGAAAATAAATGTTTCCTTTATCAAACCTGTCCGTATGCTTTCAAAGCCATAGCTATACAGTTAAATTTAATTTTAGCCTTTCTAAGTCCATTACTATTCTGGGTTTATCATCAGCCAGCCCAGGGAAAATTTTTTTTAACATTCGCAGAGATATTACTTTATGACAAATATTAAAGATAAATAGTGGGGGAAAGGAAGGGGACTGGAAATTTGCAAATCCTGAACTCCCCTTTTGAGGCTTCTAATTTCCTCCTCTCTATCTCACCTCCCGTAATTGTACTTTTATAAGTGTTTTGATACCACTGCTAGTCTCCCCCAGACCATGGTGACGGTGTCCTGGTAACTGCAGCCTGCAAGGCCAGGCTCCATACGTGGGGAGCAGGATAGAGGGACAGTTCAGAAAACCTCCAGGTAGGTTCCAGTGGCTAAGGTCCAATGGCAGTAAGCGACCATTTGGGAATATTCCAAAAACAAAGAGTGCGTCTGAGCAAGAAAAACTGACAAACAAGCCCCACTATCATCAAGAGCATCTTCTTCATCACCCCCCGTAAAGGAAGCAATCGTCTTGGGGGATCACTTACGACAATGTGTGCCGGAGATGGGGACCGGGCATCCTTGAGGGCTTGTCTGCTCTGGAGGCTCCCTGCCTGGACATCAAGCAGTGGCCATTTCATCTGCAGGTACTAGAGGGAGGAAACAAAAATAGAAAAGAGTGAGTTTAGAAGAGTCATCCGAAGCAGTTGGCCCAAGAAATAACTTTTACCGGGGTTAGAAATTGAAAACATTAACAGCACGCAGGCAACACCAGCAACACAACACGGTACCAAGAAGCATGCAATGCCAAGAGGCTCCTCCTAGAACTCCAGGCTCAGGTTCATGTACAGAACATCAACGCTAGCAATGACATTTTTGTCTTTGCATTCTAAGTACGGGGTGGCTTAAGATAAAATGATTCCATTAATGTGCTACTTTATTCAGAGGGGGAAAGGAGGTGGGGAGGGGAGATAGGGGACAGAACTCAGGGCTATTTGGAAGGAGGAAAGTAAATATCAAGCCAGAAGTATCCTAGGAAGCTATCAATTCCAAAGTTTCTCTTTGGCGACCTTCCCTTTACAAATGCCATCATCCTTCACTTTAATGGAAGCAGAGCGCATGTACGCAACAGTCCTTCAGGGAGGAGAAACTACTCCAGTAAGGTGAGCACGCAATTCCTTACCCAACCCCAAAGCTTACACAACAAAAACACTTCTCAGTAAAATTCCAGGGCACCATGTAACGTACACACTCATCTCAAAAGACCAGAAAAAGGCTCAGCATCCGTAGCTCAGTGGGTAGGGAACCAGCCACATACACCAAAGCTGGAGGGTTTGAACCCAGCCTGGGCCTGCTAAACAACAATGACAACCGCAACCAAAAAATAGCCTGGCATTGTAGCAGGCACCTATCGTCCCAGCTATTCGAGAATCCCTTAAGCCCAAGAGTTTGAGGTTGCTGTGAGCTGTCATGCCACAACACTCTACCAAGGGTGACATAGTAAGACTCTATTTCAAAAAAAGAAAAAAGAAAGACCAGAGAAACTCTTAAATGTGCACATATTTACCACAAAGATAAAAATAAAGGTATGAGCCAGTTGTATCTGTCTCCCACCTTTGTCTGAGGTAGAAAATGAACCCATGACATAAAGGAGCTACTTTAGCTTCCAGAGGGATTGGAATAAGCAATTGATTCAGCTCCCTGTTCTGCAGATAAGGGAAACATACGTGTGTGTGTTTGTGTGTGCGTATGTGTGTGTGCGTGTGCAGGCATGCAGAAGGTAGGTCAAGACAGAATGTGGTACACTGTGACAGGACTCCAGGACTCATGCCCAGGGAATGCCAAGAAAGGCCACAGAATTTCTGAGAAGAGAGACTGGGAAAGATTCTCTTCTCAGAGTTAGGTCTTACAAATCAGAAAGATTTCAAGAGAAACAGAAAGGACCACAAAGGGCAATCCAGAAAGAAGGGTTTGCACACATCTCATGAGAGACAGAAGGACCAAAGCCTTCCCCAAGTCGGTCCACAGATTCCCCAAAGCTACAACAAATTACCACCAAATGTGGCTCTGCCTGAAGTTGGAAGATCCTAGCCCGGGAGCTACCTGCCGAAGGGCAGTCAGTTTTTCCAACCTAGATCTATACAAGGCAGGTGCATCTTCTACAATGGCAGAGCTTTTACCTAGAAGCCTCTTGTGGTGAGCAACCTGGTTACGGGTCTGACTCTGTCAGTAGCTCCCCACAAGCGCTTGCATCAAACCCCTTTGCTTCCGAGGATCTCTGGTTTCTCCTCTGTATGCTGAAGGAGCTATCCTTTTTGTGATGGGGTGCGGGGCCAGTGGTCTGCCCCAGATGCCAAAGGACTCCTAGGATGCCAGGCCCACAGACGGTAAATACCAACAGGAATTCCCCAGGCAAACCACTTCCAAATGCCTTCTTTGGGGTCAGTATCACCCCATGATGAAAACCACCGAAGTAAATGTTTCCAAGGTCTCTCTCTGCCCTGCAACCCAAGCCAGAGGGCTATGGGAATACAGTCTGCCCTGTCTCACCCCAACTTCTTCCCATTCTCACTTGCCACATAAATATATGGGCTGCATTGGTCAAAACCACTCAATAGAGTCATTTCCTTGAGGCCAACCAAAATGGACACCCATCAACACTCACTCCACCATCTCATAGAAACCCGTGAACAAAAACACCACACTGGGCTGACACCCACCTACACTACACCCACATGCTGTCCTCGGTGGGGCAGGGCCACATGAGCGGCCTCCTTTCCATCTTTGCCCACCTGCAAAACTGATTTGACTGCATCCAAGTACCAGCTCCAAGAGGGGATAGACCTGCCCTGAGGACCCCACCCCAAGAACTGTCATACCCATAATGCAATATTAACATGGAGACTTAGAATTCTTACTTTACATAAAAGCTTCATTGTGTGCCACGTCCAATCTCCATAGGGCTACCTGCACCACATATTTTTATGAGCCTACATTTCAGCGCTCCAAGCCTACAATACACATAATTTTCAATTATGTTAGAGCAGCCCGGGATCACTGCCTATATAACGTTACTGGTTGGAGGAAATGAGACTCGGCCCCCACTGCCCAGAGAGAGCTAACCGAATCCAGATGGTGAAGGAAGACGGCCCTGGCCCTGCCGACCTGCAGGGACTCCGCCACGACAGCCCCGAACTCTCCTTCCAGATGCAACCTGATGCCACAGGATGGCTGGGTACCCACAAATCCAAGCCCGACCCTTGAATATTAACTGGCATCCGAGCTGATGAGGTGCCTTTTGGGGAAATAAGTATTATGTGAGGATTTTTTTCCCCCTTCCACAAAGGCCATGAGTAATACGGCAGGATTTTTTAAAGGAAGCTATTAACCTCCTCCAAAAGTGATGGGTTTCCCAGGTTCCTTCATCTTCCACAATTGGTCCTTATTAATAGGGAAAATAAATAAATAAAGGGAAGAAAAAGGAAATGAGGTACTATTACAGCCTAGAGGAAAATCTTTTCCTTCCTGTAGACATCAAGCAGCAGGAACTTCTCTTCGGCTGGATCCTAGAGGAAGACCCGAAGGAGGGGGCTGAGTTAGGACGCGGAGCCACATTTTCCCAACAGTTCAACTTCAGTTTTACATTCTTTGGGGAAAGAAAAGAAGTTCCCACCATCCCAACTATAAAAACAGTGGACTCCAGCCCTCTTCCTCTTAGGCCGCTCAACATGGAAATTATGAATTGCCTACCAAAACATTAAGCTTTTCAACAAACTGCAATCAAACGGGGATGTGGGAATTCCTGCATTGAAAACTGTCAGAATGGAGTCTGCCCAACTTTCATTTCTTTAAAAAAATAAAATCAAATAAAATAAGACCATCTTGGCTTAAGTACTTCATCCTTTGTTGAATAATAATGTTCTGATCATGGCCCATTAGGGTTTTCCCGCAAATCGTATTTTATGATATGTCTCGGGGAGCTTAAGTTAAGCTTTAGACCTGTGAGCAAAGTCCTGAAATATACACACCACCAGTGGCCTGACAAGAATCGGAGCGGTTGCAAAGACTGTTACATTGCCGGCAAAAAGAAAAAGGGGAGCACCTCTGATTTCTTCTCTTCCACAAGGTAAATGGGAAGGATCTTATAAATCAGAAGGCTCCTTCCAGAATAGCTTCAGCGGCAATTAACACCTGCTCAAGCTGGTCTGACCCAGCCTGTTCCCCAGCAGGGACCTTCTGTCCTTGGGAATCTACCATCAGTAGAAAGGGTGATGAGCTCGGTGACTCACACCTGTAATCCTAGCATTATGGGAGGCCGAGGCTGGTGGATCACCTGAGTTCAGGAGTTAAGAGACCAGCCTGAGCAAGAGAGAGACTCCATCCCTACTAAAAATAGAAAAACTAGCCAGACATGGTGACCGGTGCCTGTAGTCCCAACTACTCAGGAGGCTGAGATAGGAAGATCAGTTAAGCCCAAGAGTTTAAGGTTGCTGTGAGCTATGATGCCACATACCCAGGGTGACAGTTATACTCTGTCTCCAAAAAAAAAAAAAAAAAAAGGGTGGTAAGGACAGACAGCTACTGAGGGCTTTGTGCAAGTTTCTTTTCTAAACAAACAAGAAAACCCAAACGACAATGATAATGAGGATGAGGACAAAGTTGCCAGGAAACTTCACATCCCTGATCAATCACCAGCGCGGCTTCCCAGCACTGCCTCCCTATCACTCTGTTCCCTAGATGCACAGGCAAGCAGAGTCTGTCCCTTTATTTGTTCAGGGCAGGGTTAGTAAACTTCTGTAAAGTGCCAGATAGTAAATATCCTTGGCTTTGCGGCCCAGACCATCTCTGTCATAACTACTCACTCCTGCTGTCATAATTCGAAAGCAGCCACAGGCAATACATGTACGTCTTGTGTTAATGGCCGTGTTCCAATAAGACCTTATTTATGGCTACCAAAATCTGAATTTCATGCAATTTTCCTATGTCAGTAAATATTATCCTTCTCTTGATTTTTCCGACTATTTTAAAATAATAGAAGTCATTCTTAGCTCATTGGCCATCCAAAGGAGGTGGCAAGCCAGGGTGGGCCTGTGGGCCCCCTTGAGACCATCCCCTGGGCTCAGGGTACCGCGTCATGGCCTGGAAAACCACGTCAGATGGGTGTCTTCCCTCCCTGGGCCTTAAACCAGCCAAACACGAGCAAGTAGCAAAGCCTGTTCGGGGGCCCAAAAGCAACATGTGGGACTGAACTGTCACTGGCAGACTCGAGGTTTGGGGGGAAAGCTTGGAAAAGAACTCGAGCCCTTTGGCCGAGGTGCCTAGTCACAAGGTCTAACCACCAGACCACAATCTCACCAAAATAACTACCCTTCCTTTCCAAAATGGAAGTTTTAAAAATCCCTGAGTGTTTCTGACTGGAAAAGGTTCATGTATTCAAAAGTTCTCACCCACTTCTCAGGAGGCCCTGGTGACGTGTCACCACATCATTGCACAAAAACTTCCTCGAGTCTGGGGCAGAGCACTGTGGGTGCTTTAGGACCAACTCTCTGGGTGCAGACACCCCTCTCTCAGAGCTTTCCAACTACCCCCTTCCTACATCACAAAGCTGGACGAAGCCACCTTGTGCCAATGCTGCCTGCCGCCAAGAGAC